CGACTCTGTACTTTTAAGGAGCACTACTCACAGAATTCCATTTTCGACGACAAAAAAATTACAAAATTGATGATGCCGAAAGGCAGTTCACCTTGGCACACCCCACATCTTCCAGCTCCAGTCATCACTGACTGTGGCCAACACTTGTTTTCTAGGATGCAGAGCAAGTCTGTAAAAGGAATCAAACGATGTGTCAAGGCTTGAAACCAGAAATTTAAACATAAGAATTCTAATACTGCAAACGAGGAACGATACCAGAGGCTGCTTTTCGGTTGAGGATTATTGAAGAAGCATTAAGAGGAGCAGCCTTGAGTGACAAAATCACACGTCCCTGTATTATAAAACCAAGTTAACGAGATGAGCACGCGATAGGCGTGTTTGACAAAAGGTGGTTCCCTTCGTCGTGGTAGTGCTAGTCTCCCACGACCTCATAATTTTGCATCTGATTGGTTAAGACATGGCGTAAGACTTTTCTTGACCAACCACAGAGCAGAGTAAAGAAAAACTATTCCACCCCGGAACACTTTCGGCAGTGGATCAATCTAAAGCCACAATCTAAAGAACGAGTCAAATGCGCAGACGGGCCCCTGTGATGTGCAAGCTGAGGATTGACTCGACTGTCAGCAGGGAATTCTGAATCCTGAAGTTAAACAAGAATTACATTTTGTACCTTGCAGTATGAAATTTTTACGTCAATTTTCATTGTAAGGGCACATACAGTAGCTCTGTAAGGTGACGCGAACATCAGGAAGAAAATGTATTTAGCTAACTGCTAAAGAACAAGAGAATATTCTCTTAAAGATAATTATTGCCGTCTAATTCAACTCAACACGTCCACACAGACAGTCGTGAGTATATAAACAGAATAATTAAAGGATCAGCGAGTCATAAGACCCAAGACCATACAGGTCTGCATTATCTCACTAGCAGTAAACGAGATTCTGACATTGACATACTATACATGTACAGTCCCATCGTCTCGATTTTTTATGGTCTGCTAATTTTAATGTTGTGGAGCCATTCATAAAGTATTTATCATTATCCAATTGTCTAACTCCGAAAAAAGGGTCCTGTTTTAGTGAAAATATACCTTTGGATGTTTACTCTGCACCATCATATGAGGATCAGCTTCATCTCTGCGTCCAGCTGAAGGGCGATACTGTGACACTTTTTTCTGAACCTCTCCCCCTTCAATTGAACAAAACAAGATAAAAATAATTTAGATTTCAGCATTAGCACTTCCATGGGGTGGCTCGTTGTCCAGTGTTTCCCACTCAAATTTGAAGTTGGAGGGTATGTTTAAGTAGCCAGTGTACAAAACCAAAGAACCGGAAAAAGAAATAGAAACCCGTAGCAAGGAAGTGAACTGATAACAAAGTTTAACACAATCTTCAAGTTACGTTTACATTGTGTGGGTCTGAAAATCGAACCCAGGTCACAACAGTAACAGGTGAGTTTTCATACAATGGTACTATCCTAGTGTGCAGTTCTTTGTCAAGAGCTGTTTTTTTTTTCTTGTTTTAGGTCTTGTTTTTCCAACTTGTTTTGTTCTTGTTCTGTTTTGCACAAGGTGCAAGTGCAGTCTCTTGAGACAAGAACCCCTTCATGACAGATTGGTAAATTAACGCTTTCATTTTTAACATCACAAACCTTGAGTGACCTCTGATTGGTTCCCTCCAACTTGATGAAGAGTTGTCTGAAGCCCAGTCATCTAAAAGAAAAAAAAGGGGGTTGGGTAAATCACTTTACAAAAGAGTTTCATAAACTATAGACAATGCACATGAGAATATTAAAAAAGGTCAAAATAACTTGACACTGCTATATGAGACAAAAAAAAACAATGTCACAACTGACCTGTCCAACTGCTCTGTCTCTTTCAAGTTTGGTCAACATTTTCTCCTTCATGGCCACCTGCAGGAAATTAAAAATAAATAGATACATTTTTTTAAAAAAGAAAAGGAAATCACTGTATTTGAAAGCTGTTCAATTCTAAATGAGGAATCGACTTGTAAAGTCTTTTCAAAATTGAATTCAAATATTGATAAAAGCTTAAATATAATTATTAATTATTATTAATAGTACAATTACAGTACCTCATATTTGTGTTTCAGAGTCTGAAGGGTGGGCTCATAGGAGGAATAGTGCTTCTTCAGTCTAAGACACAAAACAGCATTGTTACAGTACTGAAAATTGCAAACTTATCAGAAAAATTAGAAGTGACTGGCTTGAGATATTTTCATAACTCATGTTAGCAGTGCAACAAAGCTGTCAGACTTATGCCTAAGTGCAGTTGTTACAACATTTACGAGGCAGCCAAAATCATAGCTTAGCATTGTGCTTTTAAGTGGTTGGATCTAATTGTCTCACATCTAGTATAAAATAACCACAAAAGCATAGCTCAAATCAAAGAAATCAATCAACAGAATACCTGCAATTGGTTAACTTTAAGTTAAAGAATATTCTGTTTTTCTTTCCATTATTTTGTTTACTTTCAAAGTTTTCTACCAAGATGTCATTGTTTTGGTAAATTGAAAGTAACAAAAGTTGCTTTGAATGTTTTTATTCCTTTAATATTTTTCTTGGGGAATTAGTACAGAGCTGACAAATAGCAACCCACCTGCATGTGTCTCACATCTGACTGCAATGTTCAGCAATATACATACAAGCTGCTTTTATGTTGGTTTAAACAAGTACATGTAATTAGGTACCTTTTAATGTCAGTAATAAGCCTGTTCTTCTCTTGAACAACTCTCTTGTGGTGCATGCGATGAAAATCTCTTTCTTTTTTCAACCTGACAAATGTCTGCTTTGCCTTTCTGCCAAGTAAAAAGAGGGGTTAGGAAATAAGTAGGTAAAAGTTTCTTACACAAACCTGCCTCGACTGATAATTTTCAACAAAAGGTTTAAATAGGAAGCTGGGGGGGGGGGTTACTTACTCAGCAGCTTCCTTGAATTTATTTACTTCTTGACGGAGAGTAGACACCATGTCATCCAACTGCTGGTTTCTACAAAAATAAATACCGCAAAAATTTATCGGTTATGTTATTATTCGGTACATGTCATTTGTAACAACTTCACTGTGTTGCACAATACGTGTATCCCATTTGTTAAAGATTCAAAGGAGAAGTACTGTACAACCATATGCTTTAAGAAAGTGCTCTGATGCATGAATTAATCCTAAATAAATTGATTTATAAATTGTGCATGCTGCAAACATATGGGAAATTTTAGAACATTTGATATTTGAGGGTGGACTGATCAGAGGACATTAACATGAAACCTTTACCCACTAACATCAGCATGCAAATTCTCCATACCTTTCTAAATACATCTGCAAAGGTGCTGACAGGGAGAATTTGTTTGACTATCAAAAGCTTCTTTAGTTAATTATCATTTCCTTTATTCATGTAACCTTATTGATTGATTCAGGGTTGATGTTGTAAGGAGAATTTGGTTGTTAGTCACTCCTTGTAATCAAAGCATTTACACTAACTTACTTCACATAAATGTCTGGTACAACTCTCACATCTTCTTCATTAAGTAATCCTTTTTGCAACAACTCATACCTAAAAGTGTCACAACCAAAGATTTAAATAACCAAACATATTTTTGAAAAGAGGTAATAGTCAGAAACCAATTTTAAACTAAGATTACTGACAAATCTGTCCTTGTACAAATATTCAGCTCACCACTCAGTGTCACAACCAAAGATTTACATACCCAAGCATATTTAAAAAAAAGGCAATAATCAAAAACCAGTTCTTAACTAAGATTACTGACAAATCTGTCCTTGTACAAATATTCAGCTCACCACTCAGTGTTACAACCAAAGATTTACATACCCAAGCATATTTTTAAAAAAAAGCAATAATCAAAAACCAGTTCTTAACTAAGATTGCTGACAAATCTGTCCTTGTACAGATATTCAGCTCACCACTCAATGACACAACCCAAGATTTACATTCCCAAGCATATTTTTAAAAAAAGTCAAAAATTAAAAACCAATTCTAAACTAAGAATTTACTGATGAATCTGTCCTTGTATAAATATTCAGCTTACCACTCAGTGTCATAACTGAAGATTTAAATTCCCTAGCACATTTTAAAAAGGAAGCAATTAATCAAAAACCAATTCTAAACGAAGATTACTGATTAATCTGTCCTTGTATAAATATTCAGCTTACCACTCAGTCTGAAAACAATCTAGTGTTCTTGTCATTCCCATTTTAACAAGAAAATTTCTCACAAAATCTTCCACAATCTCTGGTCTCTGGTAATAAGCCAAAAAAATAAGAATTAATTATACAATGAAAGTAGTATTTGTCCTCTCTAAAACGGGAAAGTTCTAGTAATTAGCTAACATAAATTAATGCTACTTACTGTTGTAACTGTGGCTTTCACTGGCTCAGTCTTTTGCTGTCGATTAAATCATATACAAGAGTTATGTTTTTTTTCATTCAGTTACAAAACTTTAGCATGTGTACATGTACTTTCATGCCTGCACATTTGCTGAATGTATATCTTTACAGGATACAAGAAAACATAATTTCCCTTTAACTCATGGTTATTCTATCTTTTGTGCACTGTCTTAAAAATTATCTCAAGAGAGATTTTTTTTTCATATGCACCAATACTGGGCAATCCCATATAACAATTCACAATTTACAAGTAACTTACAACATACCGCTAACAATTCATCACTAGTCTTTTCTTGCACTGTTGTAAAAGCTGTTTCCAAATCCTCATCTCCATCTGTTCAGAGAAGCAAAGTCACCAGAACAGGAAAATTCAATACCAATACTGTATACTCATAAACAAATACAGTGGAAGGAGACTATTATAGGATATGTACACCTGTAACAATGCAATAGGCTACACAGATCTCTTACATTATTGACAATTGATTATTGACACAGATCTCTTACATTATTGACAAGCCCAATTTCTAATCTATTATATTCAAGTAAATGTGTTTTTCTGGCCTCAAATCTCCCCTTAAAAAAACAAGATCAAGAACTTAAAGCTTTGCTGAATCCATATAAATCAATAATGTCTTCCATTATGAAAGAGCCCCATACAGCTACTTGAACATGTGTGGCTTTATGTCTGTGACAAAAATATAGCTTAATGGGGTTTTGAAATCTTGCGAGAAAATTCCATGTGGTAGACTGAGAATTCTCCCAGGTCCCCTGCGGGATGTACACCCTAACAGATATTAATTAGACTTTTCAAGTTTTTATTTTCAAGAAATGACCTCCTGTAAGCACTTGAAGCAGGTGATCACTGAGAACAAATAAAGTAAACTTTTCATGCTTACCTATAACAGAATATTCATCTTCCAAGGGAACCTAGAGCAATACAAAGTAAGACAATTCATTTTAAAAAAATGCAACAACAAAATATGAAATGCAAGGGGAGACAAAAAAATATTTTCACTTTATTTGGGGTAACAGGTGAAAGATTGATCTTCACATGATAACAGCAAAACATTTAGGTCACTGTAGAAAAAGAAGTTTTAAAAAATTATGGCCTCAATGGGATTTAAACCCATACATATGTTTCCAAGAGACTAGTTGGGGTACTATCAATGGAAAAAGGGGGTGGTTTTCTAAAGAAACTGTGGTACTGCTTAGTGGGAGAGTATAACAAGGTAATTAAGTATTATCATCTGTGTTGATAATGTAAATTGGCCACCATAAAGAGTTTCAAGGCTGACATTATTTCATTCTGACAAAGGGCTAGCACTCGAAGCAACAGCTTTGAAACTCTTTATGGTGGCCAATTTGTGTTCTTAACTCAATTGATAATACTAAATTACCCTGTTATACCATCAGCGGTGCCAGGAGCCACAAGTTAGCAGCAAAGCAAGTCCAAATGGGTTCTTTGCTCCCAGCAAAGGAATCCAACTTCTAATTTGACTTGCTTCCAACAAGTGGCTTGATAGCTTATTCGTTCAAGGCAGTCAACATGGCACATGTTTGCATCCTATCAAAGTTCCAAATTTCAGACTTCTTTCTCACCAATGACTCTAACTTCAGTTGACCTCTGAGGTTCAATTTGTCAATAATAAGCACAGTTGAGATCATTACTCAGAGATTAAGATCTCTGCTGTAAAAGAATATATCAACCACATCATTTGAAACAACTGGAAAAGAAAACCTGACAGGTTTGAAAAATTGTGAACCACGGCAAAAACTTTAAACCACAAGCGTTACCTCTTCATAAGCAAACTCGTCATCACTGTCTTCCGCTACTGTCACCTCTGATTAAAACGTTAAAGATAAAAATATTGCAAGAATTGTCTCATTGTTTCCAAATTCAATACAAGTTACTAGGTAAAATTAAACGTTTAAGATTACAACCACAAGAACTACCGATAGTTTCAGTGTTTTCCTACTGTACTACCCTGTCCAAACAACAAATGATAGCTGAGCAAATTTACTTAACTGCTTTGACAGTAGCAAGGACCATTTTAAGGCAAATTACTCAAAAGTTGTTTCAGTGCAGTATGAACTCAGCCTGATAACAGTTCACTAGTGTTTGAGCTCAACACACATCATCACCTAGACGTTGAAAGTTTACGACAATTAAAATTGACATTATCGGCGTATTGCTTCACGTCAATTGCGAACACACTTCACTTTACCACACATTCGAGTCTTCATCATAATTCTAGAGGGGGAAATAGTGGAGGAGAGTACAAAGGCACACAAAAAGGATACGTTCAAGATAGAAGACTCCTTGTTCATCCGCCATTTTTGTTTCTTGTCGTTGCTAAGGGTGACGTCGATACACCATCAACTGACCAGCGGTTTTGTTATCGACCATGCACCAGCTCATGTCAGGGTCACTAAGCGAAACTTAAGGTTATAGAGAAAGGGGCGCCCACTACTGAATGGAAATAGCATACTTGTCTGGAAGTAGCATAAAAAGCTGCGTTCGCACAGAAATATAAAAAAGGCGACGAAAAGTGTGAAAAATTATGCGACTGTATAATACCGTCCGACCTTTTCATTTATCTTTTATTTTTCCGTTGAAAATATTGTGTTCCGTCGTTTTTGCTTCCGTACTTGCTATCCATTTCCCCATGTTGTCAGCTAGAGGCTCTCCTATAAATTTCCCATAAAAGCTACTTATAATTACACCATTTATAGTCGTATATTCAAATAAACTTTATTGAAAAAAGTATAGAGTTTTCCATGCGCTTCAGCACTACTTAACGCGCATTACACCTAATACCTTTCAACACTACATGTATTTGCGTTGCACCCATGTTTATGGCCAACTAAACCATTTTAATACAAAGAAGAGTTGTGATGTTTCCATATGGTTCGAAACTCTTTTTAACGTATTTTTATAAATTGCGTAATAGACTTTTACACTATTTAAATTTGTCAGTGAAGTTTTTCACGGGTTTTTAGACTAGAAAATATCTATTTTTAAATGTTAATGCCTTACATTATTACATTCCAAGCTCAAAAATTAAATTAGGCAAATAGTACTGAAAATTTTGGGGCTACAAATAAATGGAAAAACATCCGTATAATTCTAATTATAGTCACTCGCTGTGCGTCTGTTTGGCTTACAGATAACAGATGACAGATGACGTCATGATGCGGTAACTGAGTTTGTCATTGATGTTCTGACCACATATTGACGTCTTCTTTGATCTTTTACTGTACAGACCCACGGCAACATGGAATCTATTTACATCACAAAATGATAAAATAACATATGTTTGTAACGATGACGTCATCTTTGCGTCAATCCTCCAATAGTTTAAAAGTAAAAAGCAATCAAAACGCGTGTATAATTCAGCTTACTATGGAAAAGTCAATGAAAGCCCTTTATTACACACATGAAGTTATAAACATAGCTTCCGCTGGTGAGAAAGAAGTCCATTTCCTAATTATCAGTCACTCTCATAACGAGGATAGTATTCTTAGCGAAAGCAAAATCTTTCAGCTAAGTCTCTTCGATTTAAACACTCGAGGCACAATGCTTGGCGTAGAAAACGATACGTGGCATTCGAAGCGTTTTTTTCCTTCCACAAACGTAACATTTGATAAGCCTTGTCAAAATAATCACGTCTCCTTTGATCAATGTTATCAAGGTCTTCCACGCGAATACCCAGCAGGAGCCCAAGCCTCCTCCAGTCTTCTGAGATGGAGTTCGACAGTCCCGCGTGATCATCTCTACTTAGAATGCCTTCTTTTAAAATTTTCCCTAAGAGTATTGAAAGGAATGTCATAAAAGAGCGCGGTGGAAGAATGAAAAAACTAGAATTTTATTAAAGAATGTTAACATACCTGCGAGAGACACTTCCTCAGGAACGAACGTTTCCCCTCGTTGGTTTATCTCTGGTCTTTCGAAATCTGCAAATAAAGAGTGTATGATTGGATTCAAACTTGACAGCGCTGAATCTTGGTTAAACGAGGAAACAATGGAAAGAAATCAAAGCTATGGAGACAAAAGAACTCTTTAATTAAAAGGGGGGGGGTTAGGAAGGGAGGGGCTTCTTAAAATTTTAGGGGGTAGAAGATGGGGCGTTCATTCGAGATTAAACATTTAAATGAATGTCAGCTGATAGCAGGGGTGCTCGAGGCGAGGCACTGATTCGGAGATCTAAGGGATCTTCGGCTTGAACTCAGTCCCTTACGTGCCTTTGAATTTTACATTGTTCATAATCTGTACCATCGAGACCTTAAAATGTGACATCTGTTACCTGTGCGAGAAACCTTACCAGGAACAACTGAATGCCCAGTCTGGTGCGATACATCTTGCATTCCGAAATGAACAGGACTGCAAAGCGCCGAAGAGGAGATCCCTGACGAAATATAAAAAATCCCTCAGTTCTGTTTCATTCTTCAACATTCCTGAGTAAGTCTCTCAGTCAACAGAAACAAGAAAAAAAGCAGGCACCCCAAAACGAGTGAGGGTCGTGCAAACTTTACGTCGCTCGCCAGCTCTTTCACTTCTCTCCACAGATTGAGAGCCTGGTAAAGGCAAATATATGTGGCTCAAGGGGCCTACGAGTTTTGAAAAACACTCATTGCTCAGATATTATTTGATTTCACAGGAAAATGAGCTTGTCTACTTGCCTTCAACTTAAGAATGTCGGCCATAAAGTGTATACGCACTCTAAGCTCCACAATGTATCAAATTAGTTCGCTTGTCCTAATGACGACAGGGGCAATAAAAGCATAACTTCGTCCTCTTGGTCAGTAAATCTTGAGTTTTTGTGACAAACGTAAGACAACCAAGAAAAAAATTAATCAAAACTTTGCGCACGTTTCAAGGAAAACTAGTTATAATTAGTTACCCTCAGTCTGAGGAAAGCTTTGTAAAGACTTGCCATTGTGGTTTTTACCATTGATATCGTCCAAGACCTGAAGGCAAATAAATTACTCGCAGTGTAAGTATTCTCCAAATAATCCTACAAAGGGGAAATTCGGCCACTATGAGGACAAAAAAGCTTTCGGGCAAAGTCCTGAGAGTCCTGAGATCAACTGAAACGTCAAATAGGACACAAAAGGAACGTATTTCTTCGACGTTTTGAATATTATCATTTTCCAGTCTTTAGGCCACTCGGTGTCATATCAAGGTCTGACCAAACCTGATTCCAAACCCCTTCGCTGGTTAAATACAACGAAAACCTGATCGCAAGGAACTTGGATTAGCTTTACCTGACTCCAAGTCTCGGGCGGACAAAACGTTGGACCCCTCAGAGTACGCGAGCAAACGAAAGGCTTTCTTGTCAAGGAAACATAATGCGCACAATCATCGTGGCAACATTCTACTTCCGCATGCCAATAACACTTTCCGGTTCCACGAACAAACTGGCGCGGACACAAACTGCATTTAGCGCAGAGATCCCATGATACTGTTTGCAGCCAATGACACTCCTCGTGCAGCCTCTCCAAACTTGTCTTCAAAAACCTAAAAAAAAGGGAGAGACTTTTGTCAAAGGGGTTGATATCTTTTCTTACAAATCTTTCACGTGGATACGTTAATCTCCAGAAAGTTCGTAATGTACACAATGTTCACCTGAGAGAAATTAAGTAAACTGTAGCCTCCGTTAAAACAACATCTTGAGTATGACGTCCATTACACTATCAAAGGGTTAACGATGTTATGAAAAAACCCTAACTTGTCGGATCAATTCACATCGCATCAAAAACCACTTCCGATTACACGAACTGATAATTCACGTGCACCTACCTTAAGACCTTTGAGCAAACTTTTGGCTCGGTCTTGACAGGGTCCATACTTGGATCGGTGAAATTCCATACGTGTACTTTGATCACACGCTTGTAGCAAACAAAATTAACTGCAGTCTGATTTCCCAAATAGAAACGAGCTAAGTTAGCCCGCAGCTCTGCCTGCACACACGCAATTCGTCTTTTTACAGATTCGAAGAAAAGGACAACCATTCTTGAAAAGAGACCACCAGGGACGTACTGAGTGGTGAATGTGACATAAACGGGCGCAGGGCCTGGGTTAGCAGAAACGTCCGCATCGTCAGGTGTGGAGGTCAGCATGCACGGAACAAGATACACGGAACTGCCATCTTTTCCCGTATATTCACAAAGAAGGTTGAACTTCTTCATGAGGAAAAGTAAAGACTCCTTGATGTCGCCAACGCCCAGTTTTGTGCAAGAGTAATCAAGCAGCTTAGCATCAAGAATGCCGTACTTGCCAAGATCTTTGCGGAGATTTGAAATGACAGTTTTCTCTTCTTTCTGTTTTTCAACCGTTATTATCTGACACAAAACATCAATCAACCACTTTGGATTCAAAAAAACCAGACTACCAGGATCGTCAGCCCTACCATGATAAACCACTGAACCACGATCGTGCAAAAAGTGTAAAAGTACTTCATAGTCATCTTCGACCTCAAATTTGCAAATTTCGTCACAGATATTCTTTCGGAAGTCTTGCCTTGTGACATAATTTGTCCCCGCGCTTGCTAGATTACGGACTTCGTTTTCCACTTGAAGCCACTTTAAAGGAGCCACATCTTTTGTATGTGGCAAAGTATCTGCAACCTTCAGAATCTCTTTCCGTAAGGCAACAATTTGGGGATCTTCTTCCTCTAGTTCCTTACCAGCAAGAGTGTTGTTCACTGCAAATGTTTTTCCGATTATGTGTTCACTGAACTCTCTTACTGTGTCACAAATGATGTCCTTTACACTCGTAATCACGATTCCGGGGTCTCCTTGCACATGGTCGGCATGTGTTCCAACCAAAATGACAGGTGGTAATACTTCGCCATTCTTTTCGTGTTTGAAGGAATTCACCATGTCCATCCACCTCATAATGTGATCTAGGTTTGTGTCATTGATGTCAGGAGACGGAATTTTAACTTCGTCGTAACCAGCCTCTTTCACGAAACATTGGGCTAGGGCAGAAAGATCCTTGGTAAGATCAACCACCAGCAGATAAACTGCTTCACGCGAAACGAGAATAGGATGAATAGCACGGTAAATGGCTTGACCACCAAAATCCAGGCAAACTGGCCAAACGCCGTCATCCTTCACTGACTCTTTCCTTGAGAGGTTTTCAGTTGTAAGTTGCACCACTTCATCAGGGATGTCACTGTTTCGCTTCTCATTACGCCCGTTGTCCCCTTGTCTTATCGGAGAAATTTTATCTGAGTTCAGCTGAGTCCTCGGTTCTATGTCATGATCTTGCTTTCCCTGAATCGAACCCAAAACAGATTCAAGTCAATTTAATTAGCAAAGCTGGAATGGAAGTTGGCCATTAATAAATAGTTTTAATATCACCTTTAAATATAAATTAACAATAGAATGTATTGAAAACCTTTGGTAGGCTCTTCGGTCCAACCTCATTGAAGAGTTCTGAAAAAAAAATTAGCTATGATTATCTCCATTTAACCCAGTAATATTTCGCTGTTGTGCTGTGGTTGTCGTTGCCGGTTTTTTTCCTTTAAGTCTTTTGCTCTATTTTGACGGCTTGTTGTTCAAGTTTAAAAACGTAAGATTATAATTTTTCGTATCAAGTAAAGTTGTAGAATACTTTAAAAAAATCCCTTAAGGTTCTGTTGTTTTCCTTGTTACAATGAAGTCGTGCTCTTAGCCATGCATACTGATTTTCAAATAGCATGATGTGATCATAGATTGTTCTAGAAGCATATCTACATGAGTGAAACTCATGTCAAGCTGTTATTGGTGTCACTCGATAACACAGAAACCAAATCAACATTTTGTATTGAGGTACATACCCTGGTTTGATCCTTTTTCGCCGATTACCCCCTCTGTTCCCTGTGTCTCATCAGTCTCTGTTTGCCTCGCAACTTCGCTGTCCACGTAAATTTGGTTTGGTGGTTTAGGAAGTAACCACTTACTAGCATCTTGAGCCCATTTGTAATGGAATGTACTCTTTTCTTGTTCGTCTTTGGAATTCTTCCATGGTTTTTCACCAACATGTTTCAGAGGCATGTCTATTTGCACCCCTTCTGTGCTCGATTCATCTTGTCGGAATAGTTCACCTTTCAAAGAACGTAGGACACTAGATTTGCCAACGCGGTCTTGGCCAATCAATACGATTTTAACCCGCTTATCGAATGCCTTTCCCGTTTCAAGAGCTCTCTGGTAAGCGGCCTTCGCGGTGGGTCCTCTGGCCATAATATAGGGCGGGACTGAGTGCTCAGTTTGGAACTTGCTCAAAGAAGAGACATCAGCTCTTTCAGATCTATTATTTTTGGAAAGAATGGTTTGCGCTCGTTCATTCCAATGCTTTGCCTGCTTAGGGGTACCAATGACATCACAGATGGTGGCCAGGTTTCTGCAAAACATTGCCACGTATATATTTTGAGGTCCTGACCTCTTCACGAAAATGTTACGCGCACGCTCAAAGTTATCCTTTGCTTGCACAAGATCTCCAAGGGAACTACAAACTGTCCCCAAGTCACTGTAAGAAAGTGCCACGAAATCGTGCTCAGGTCCTAAATTCTTCAAACGAATATCCAGCGCACGACCATGATAGTCTTTTGCTTGCTGAAATTCACCAAGGGCATGAGTTACGGTCCCCAGAGCACTGTAAGAAGCTGCCACGTAAACATGCTCAGGTCCTAAATTCTTCAAACGAATATCCAGCGCACGACCATGATAGTCCTTTGCTTGCTGAAATTCACCAGGGGCACAAAATACGGTCCCCAGAGCACTGTAAGAAGCTGCCACGCCAACATGCTTGGGTCCTAAATTCTTCAAACGAATATCTAGCGCACGACCATGATAGTCCTTTGCTTGCTGCAATTCACCAAGGGCACCACATACGGTCCCTAAGCCACTGTAAGAAGCTGCCACGTCAACATGCTCAGGTCCTAAATTCTTCAAACGAATATCCAGCGCACGACCATGATAGTTCTTTGCTTGCTGAAATTCACCAAGGGCACAAAATACGGTCCCCAAGCCATTGTAGGAAGCTGCCACGTCAACATGCTCAGGTCCTAATTTCTTCCAATAAATATTCAGCGCACGACCGTGATAGTCCTTTGCTCGCTGAAATTCACCAAGGGCACCACATACGGTCCCCAAGCCACTGTAAGAAGTTGCCACGTCAACATGCTCAGATCCTAGATTCTTCAAACGAATATCCAGCGCTTGACTATGATACTCCTTTGCTTGCTGAAATTCACCAAGGGCACCACAAACGGTTCCCAAGTCACTGTAAGACGCTGCCACGTCAACATGATCAGGTCCTAAATTCTTCAAACGAATATTCAGCTCACGAACATGATTGTCCTTTGCTTGCTGAACATCACCAAGGAACCCAGATGCGGTTCCCACGATACTGTAAGAGGTTGCCTGGTCAGTCATGCTCAGGTCCACCCTTCTTTAAAGGAATCCCCAGCGCACAATCTTGCTAGACACTAGTACACTTTCTTCATATCGAAAGACGAAATTACAAGAGTTTTCACTGAGTCAAAAGATGACAACGGTAAACAAAAAGTGAATTATTTTGACTGAAAAAGAAACAATATTACTGAAGAAATTCTAAAATGAAACAATTGTTAGGAACGACCTACTAAGCTAGTTTCCAGAAGGGTTACAACTTCTACAACTTTCAAGAGGAGAGCACGAAGGTTTTGTGTCATTTGAGAGGTGCACAAAAGTTAACGGAAGTTTTAGATGCAAAAGATTACCTGGTGGAGATGGGTTTACATTCGAATTCTGCTCGTCTTTTTTTAAGTCTACTAGCAATGATATCGCAAATTCTCTCACTGCTGGCTGGGAGGATAGTTAACCATCAATCTCACGACGAAGGGTGGTAATAAGTCTCGGTTATACCAACAGAAACTTTAAAAAACTGCAAAAGAACAACTTGATTAGCGTTTATACAATGGACAGTCACTATTTTTCACACGATTGGCTTACTTTCCCAACACTAAAGTATTAGAGAAATGTTTCCAGTGTTCACGATTTCCACTAAATAACAACCTCTTTGATTTGTATCGTTTCTTAATTGTAAAGATGACCACAATGACCACAGCTTCTTCATAAATGAAGAAAAATGACTGGCATAAAACTGTACGCAATAAACTGGGCAAATGTATGTAATATCACAATTGCTTCAAAATAATGCAATTTTATCTTATCAATGAAATGGAATGGGCAAAACATACCATGTTCCATTGTGTAACAGAGCAAAAATACTGACTGAAGGCAGAGCAACAAATAGTCAAACTCAACACTCCTAGCCTTGAGTTTGTCTTTTGTTTAATTTTTGTGCTAATGCCTGTGAGCCTGCAAGTAATCTCTTAACCCTTTACACCCTAAAATCAGTATGCATATTCTCCATACTCTATACATTTCCAAAGATCTAACAAGGAAAAATTGTAAAAACCATCAAAGCTTTGTTAGTTGCTGGTCATTTTCTTTTTTCTCATGATTTAGACATTTGATTCAAGGGATAGAAAGAAATTAGAACCTTGTCACTCTTAGGGGTTAAAGGGTTAATGGCGATGATAAAAAAGGGG